TGCAAAATCTATTTTTTTTTTCAATTACTTTTATAGCAGCTATACTTTAAAAAAACTAATCAATCACTGCATTTGGAATTCTTTGCATGATTCTAAAACCGGCGTGGATACTACGTTGGAGAATGGCTGTTTTTTTCTGAAACAACTTGAGGGGCAACAATAAGTAGAATATTGGAAGATAAGAATCGTTTAAATAGCTGTGCCTCAAATTGCACTGCGAGAAAGCAAGACAAACACCTTGGTTAAACAAAATGACTTTATTACATCATAATTTGGATATATCAACAAAGTTGAAATGGTAAATTGGCCACCGAAACGAATACAAAAACTGACGTTTCGAGCGTTAGCCCTTCGTCGGAGCGAATAGTTCATTTCAACTTTGTTGATATATCCAAATTATTTCGTTACCCCCACCGACGCTGCACCAAAAAGTTTCTTTCGAAACTATCGGCCTTTATTACATCAATTTGAAATCACTAGTGATCCTTCCAATCTGATTTCCTCTCATTGGTGCGATTTATTCACGAATTACACCATTTTTAGCTCTAAATCGCATCTTTTTCCTAGCCAATGAGAAACCTTTACTAATACACAACCATCAATCAGATTTCAAGGTTTGTTTTAAGTAACCGATCAAGTTAAAGGAAAATGAAAGACAACTTTTTACCAATCAGCTTAGTACTGGGTCAATAAAATCTTCGTAAGTGCTAAAAGATCCTGTGTTTGGTGGATTCAATAGATGGCCGATTGAGTTTCGTGTTGTGCAAGTTTAGTCTGAAATTATGTGATTTCAAACGAAACTGGCACTGACCTACGTTTAATTTTGAAATCACTCATATGATTTCAGACCCAAATTACACTCCGCTCGGTTCAATTACCAATTTAATTTCACGTACCTTTTAGCATTTTTACTGCTACAATTATCTGTCCTTCTGTTCCATTGATATTTAAAAAAGCTACTGCCTTTGCAACCTGGGAAAAAGCACCCTTTCCAATCATTTCCATTATGTGAACTTGTTCCCGTCTTATTTCCCAGATTGGAGATTTTGTTGCTTGATTAAGTGGCATGTACTCCGAGGAAACCAGAATTTGCTCGGAAGTTGGGTTTCCTGAGCTCTGTGACTGCAATGGGGGAGACCGCTCATCATTTAACATGAAATCTCCCCCAACGTTTGTAAATCTTGTGTGCTGATTTTCTTGTGGAGATTCTTGACCCTGAAAGATGGTGCAAATCAATTAACAAGAACCTTTCTGTTTCAATAACCCATTCACCCAGTCAAACTTAAAGAAATACTGGGCTTTTATCGTCAAAAAACAACAGCGTTCGACGATACTCATATGGAAGAAAGACAGATGTGTTGATCCTGAAAGCTCACCACTGCACAAGCTTTTTAAAAATACCCAATTATGTTTGAAAAGTGTTATTTGACCGGGGCCGCACGGTACCGGATAAATACATTTATTGCGGCAACTGATAACTACGACGAATTACAACGAGTGGCAAAGGTGGTTGGCACACCTCCCCTCAGTACGTAGTCGACAACCTTCCACTCAACATAATAAACAGAGATCTTGAGATTCATCTCTGATACGTTACTTGAAATTTCCCCCAAACTATGTTTCCTGAAATTAGTGAGCATTCTATTCACACCATGCAACGTCTAAATTGGGGAGAGAAGATCAATGAGAATAAGAAAAAAAATGAAAAAAGTAGCACACCGTGCCAAGACTTTTGCCACTAACTGTAGGTATTAATCATGAAAAAGTTGCATGGTGCCTTCTGTAGCACACAAACAAGCATATTCAACATCTACAAAATTACAAGACAACCTACGACATATAATCTACACACACAAGTCCCGTATTCGGTGCACGCCTCGCCTTAAATATCGTCTCGACATTAGCATGCGTAATTACATTATCACCACTATTTGACAAGTACGAAGCTTAAAGTAGGGCGTGAATTCCTTCGCGACTTTCCTTGGCCAACTGTTCTTAAAGCTGAGCTGAACGTTCTTATATGTTTTGCGAGTTGACGCTCTTAAGATGTTCTTTAATTACATGGTATACACTATTTCAGACTTCGTATCACTTGATGACTTTGATGGTGTGCAAGTTACTTCTGTCATAACCAGAAATGCTGGTTATGACAAACCGAGATGTGTGTCACTATTATTAATGTTATACAAAACATGCTCTAAAGTATTTTGCTTAATTTTCATTTGCTACCTTGAATTTATGCATGTCATTTAATATACAGATTAGCAAAATAAAAAAAAGAGTGTACTGGACTTCAAAGTTGTACTGGTGAAGACGTTCTGCCATCTGTATAAGCGCAAAGGTTTATGACCGGAACCACTTGTACTGAGTAGCGCTCGTAGAGACACATGATCCGTTCATAAGAGAAATTTCTGAACAAACAAGAAATTATGCCAACGTCCGCTGGCGAAAATACATACTAAGGCTTCCCGTTCACCCGCTGAATAATTGCGCTCAGTTTCAATGTCTTCGATGCGAAAGCCACAGAGTACTCTTGGCTATCGATCAGCTGTGAGAGAACAGCACCGAGGGCACAACCCGAAGCATCTGCTGAGACAACGGTGAGTGCATGAGTCGAGGTGCACCATGATAGGAGGAGATGCAATCTTCCATTTAAGGGTGGCAAACGCTGCCGATTGTGCCTCTGTCCAAACACAAGTTTAGTTTAGTTTAGTTTATTGAGATTTGCCACTGAAAAATACAATTTACAAGTAAATACATGAACAGAGACACGCAATAAATAAACAAAAATATAATGGCAGGACAAAAATACAGGGCGAGCCCTAATTGACATTTGTCCCCTTACAAAGTACAACGAATAGAAAAATATAGGCTACATATGCACTTATGTACTTTGTCTATAGAATAAAATAATTTGCCGACCGACTGCGACACTTAGTTAGGGCGGAGTATAAAGCGTGAGCTTTTGTGTATAAAAACGCTTAACTAAGGCTTTAAAGTTATTTTAAAGAGCTCGCTTGCTTAATTTTGCCCAGTAAATCGTTCCATAATTTAATTGTGCGAGGAAAGAAAGAGTTTGTAATATACTGCTGAGTATGAGTAAATAAAGGGCGGATGTTGGCAGGATGATGACGTCGGGTTGCGTATGTATGGTTAGCAGGAAGCCGAAGATGGTCAAAGCTAGCGTTGATAAGACCTGACCTAGTTTTGTATAAAATGACAAGATCATGGACTTCTCTTCTGAATTCAAGCGGCAGTAGACTAAGAGTTTTCAGTATCGCAGTGAAGCTGGTTTTCCTATCTGGGTTGTTTAGAATAAATTTAGTAGCCCGTCGTTGTATATTTTCGATTAGCCTACGATGCTTTGCTGTGTAAGGAGACCATACAGAGGATACGTACTCGACGATTGGGCGAACTACCGCAGTGTATATCATTTTCCTAGTTGATACGTTAACAATGTCTCAACCGCATACACGCTTTACAAGACCAAGAACTTTGTTACACTTGGCACATATATCTTCGATGTGCGTCGTCCATGATAGTGGAGTAATGACAGTCACGCCTAAATCCTTGGTGTCAGGAGGCAAGTCCAAGGTCTGGCCGTCTACATGGTATGTATGCTTCTCTCTTTGGCGCGAGGTTCTCTTTGACATGTGTAGAACTTTACATTTGTTTGTGCTGAAAGACATACCGTTGTCGTCACCGCGT